ACATGTTGTTTTATACAATTGCTTTTCATCAGTTAAGAGAAGAAAGAAATATGTATTTATACTGTCTTTTGTCATTACCTAATTACCTTTACTGGTATTCTTTGTTTTTTCATTTGGGTTGGAATTACTGTTTGGGGTCACATGCTTTCAGCTTGAAGAACTTCCCCTTAGTATTTTTTGTAAGGCATGTCTGCTAGAAATTAATTCTTTCTGGGTTTTGGTGGTGGTGGTTGTTTTTTGAGTCAGAGTCTCACTGTCACCCAGGCTGGAGCACAGTGCCACACTTGGCCACTGCAGCCTCGACCTGCTGAGCTCGGGCTATCTTTCTGCCTCAGTCTTCCAAGTAGCTGGAACCACAGGCGAGTGCTACCATGCCCAATTAATTTTTTGATTTATTGTAGAGATGAGGTCTCACCATGTTGCCCAGGCTAGTGTCAAACTCCTGGGCTCAGGCAATCCTCTTACCTCCGTGTATTGGGATTATAGGCATGAGCCACAGCACCTGTTGGGTTTTGGTGGTGGTGGTGGTGGTGGTTGTTGGTGGTGGTGGGTTTGTTTGCTTGTTTGTTTAAAATTTTTAAAATTTATTTTTTATTTTATCTCAAAAATATAGGGTATAATTCAGGGTTAGGTATATGAATGTTCATTATGCAGGTACTCTTGTTGATGAGGTATGCCCCTCCCTCCCTTGGCATTTAAAAAAAATTTTAACGCATTTTATTTTAAAGCAATCTACATGATATTTTTAAAAATTAAAAACAATGCCTTCATTCCAAATAAATCATGGTCAAAATAAACAAAGGGGGATGGCATCAGTCCCGTTGCCCTGAGTAGGCCAAAGTAACTGACAAAGTTTTGAGCTCATGTTTTCACCAATAAAGAACTAGCAGTTTCTTAAATCAGCAAAGATGTGGTGGATTTTTTTTTTTTTTTTTTTTAGTTGGAGTCTCTGTTGCCCAGGCTGGAGTGCAGTGGCACACTCATGGTCACTGCAGCCTCGACCTGCTGGGCTCAGAGGATCCTTCCACTTTAGCCTTCCAAGTTGCTGGAACTACAGGTATGTGCCACAACGCCTGGCTAATTTTTTGATTAATTGTAGAGATGATGCCTTACCATGTTGCTCAGGCTGGTCTTGAACCCCTGAGCTCAGGTAATCCTCTCACCTCCACCTCCCAAAGTGCTGGGATTACAGGTGTGAGCCACTGCACCCAGCTATTTTTTTAAAAATTTGTTGTAGGGATGAGGTCTTGCAAAGTTGCCCAGGCTAATCTCAAACCCCTGGGCTCAGGTAATCCTCTTACTTCAGCCACCCAAAGTGCTGAGATTATAGGTGTGAGCCACCACACCTGTCCAATTATTATTATTATTGTTATTGTTATTTTTATTATCATTATTATTGAGTTGGAGTCTCGCTCTGTCACCCAGGCTGGAGTGCAGTGACACTCACAGCCACCTCAGTGTCAACCTGCTGGGCTCGCAATCCTTCTGCCTTAGCCTTCCAAGGAGCCAGAACTACAGGCGCACACTACCGTGCCCAACTAATTTTTGATTTATTGTGAAGATGAGGTCTCGCCAAGTTGTCTGGGCTGGTCTCGAACTCATGACTCAGGTAATCCACTCACCTCAGCCTCCCAAAGTGCTGGGATTACAGACTGAGCCACTGAGCCCAACCATTCTTTATTATTTTTAAAGACAGAATCTTGTTGTCACCCAGGCCGGAGTGCAGTGGTGCAATCATACCTCACTGCGTCTAAAACTCCTGGGCTCAAGTGATCCTCCTGCCTCAGCCTTTCCAGTAGCTGGGACTATAGGCATGCATCACTACATTTTTAATTTTTGGTAGAGTTGCCCAGACTGGTTTTGAACTTCTGGCCTGAAGTGATCCTCCTGCTTCAGCCTCCTAAAAGTGTTGGAATTACAGGTGTGAGCCACCACACCCCGCTTCTTTCTGTTTTTGTATATGTAGGAATGTCTTTACATTTAAAAAAATAGTTTTGCTGGAAATAGTATTCTTGGTTGACATTATTTTCTCCAGGTCTTTGAATTTGTCATCCTGCTGCCTTCTGGATTCCATTGTTTCTGATGAGAAGTTAGCCATCAGTCTTACTGGGGAAACTTGTAAGAAAGTGATGAGTCTTTTTTCCCTTGCTGTGTTCAAGATTATCTCCATGTTTTTGGTTTTCAACCATTTTTTTTTGAGTTGGAGTCTCACTCTTTGTTGCCCAGGCTGGAGTGCAGTGGCACGATCACAGCCACCCCAGCCTCGACCTCCTTGGCTTAGGCGGTCCTTCCGCCTAAGACTTCCAAGCAGCTAGAACTATAGATGCACACCACCACGCCCGGCTAGTTTTTTCTGTATGTGTGATTTATTGTAGAGACAAGGTCTCATCAAGTTGCCCAGACTGGTCTCAAACCCCCGGGGCTCAGGCAATCCTTTCGCCTCGGCCTCCCAAAGTACTGGGATGACAGGCTGAGCCACTGTGCCAGGCCTTCAACCACTTTTAATACAACGTGGCTATCTGTGGGTTTCTGCATTCATCCTACTTGGAGTTTGTTGAGCTTAATGTGTGGATTAATGTGTTAATTTTAAAAATCTAATTTTGGAAGTTTTCAGCTATTTTATTTTTTTATTACAGTAGTGTTCAAATAGTTTTTGGGTTACATGGTTGCACTGTATAGTGGCAAAGACGCCTGATCTTTCAGTGTCCCCACCACTCCCACTTGTGCATACTGTACCCAGTGGTGATTTTTCAGCCCTCCACCCCCTCCCCCTCCCCTTCAGCTATTTCTTCAAACATTTTCTGCTCCTTCTGTCCTCTTTTTGAGGTACCATTATACATACATTGGTGCACTCAGTGGTGTGTGGTTTACATTTCTCTGAGGTTCTGTTCTTGTTTCTTTATTCTTTTTTTGTCTCTGTTCTTCAGATTATATAATCTCTATTGATGTTTCCTCAAGTTCACTTACGTCTTCAGCTCAAATTTACCGTGAACCCTTCTAGTGAATTTTTAAAATTTCAATTACTGTACTTTTCAACTCCACAATTTCCATTTGGTTATTTTTATAATTTTTGTCTCTATTAAATTATGTATCATGTTCTTACTGTATCTTTCTTTACTTCTTTAAGCGTAGTTTATTTTAATTCTTTGAACAAACTATAATGACTGCTTTGAAGTGTTCGTTAAATTTGGCACAGGGGTCTTCTCACAGACAGTTTCTGTTGCTTGTTTTTTTGTTTTTTTCCTGTATATAGGTCACACTCTTGCGTGTCTTTGCACATCTTGCAGTGTTTTTCTGGTGAAAACTGGTCATTTTAAGTATTATGCTGTAGCAACTGTGCATACTGGTTCTCTGCCCTCCTCTGTGGCTTGTGACTGTTTGCTTATTTATTTGTTTGGTGCCTGGCTGGACTATTGTAGTGAAAGCCTATTTCCTCTGCACTGTGAAGCCTCTGATGTCACTCTTCTGAGAGTACATACAGTCTTAGGCACGTACACATCTACAACAGTGGTTTTAGGAGAATTCCCTTTGACTGTTTTTTCCCTGATCATACCCTCCTGCTAAGTTCCCCTGCATGCTGGCTGGTTGCTGTTTTTGACAATACCATAGGGCATAAATTGCACCACACACTGATCCCATTAAATTTATTTTTTTTTTTTTTTTTGAGTTGGAGTCTCACTCTGTCGCCCAGACTGGAGTGCAGTGGGTCGCTCCCGGCCACCACAACCTCGACCTGCTGGGCTCCAGCGATCCTTCCGCCTCAGTCTTCCAAGTAGCTGGAACTACAGGTGCGCACTACCAGGCCCAGCTAATTTTTTGATGTATTGTAGAGATGAGGTCTCGCCAAGTTGCCCAGGCGGGTTTCAAACCCGCGGGCTCAGGCCATCCACTCACCTCAGCCTCCCAAAGCGCGGGATGACAGGCTGAGCCACCGAGCCCGGCTAAATTTGGGCTTCTTTAACACTGAAGCTTTTGCGGTTTGTTCTGGCTGCAGTAAAGCTCTTGCTGGATATCCCTTTCCCTGATTCTCTCTGGCAAACTAGCTGGCCTTTGGTTTACCTTGTTCTAATGCAGGTACCAGCCTCTTCCTAACTGCTCATCACCAAAACTTTCACTGATTTTGACAGTGCCTCTAGGCTGGAATTTCCCTACCCTGTTGCAAATAAGGTCAGTTTTCTTGGTGAAGAGCTTCAGAGCCGCTTTATGACCTACCTCTGTCCCTGGGCAGAATAAAACCTCTGAGCCATATCACAGAGCTGGGGCAGAACAACGGCGGCCTCTGATTGAACTGCTCCCTTAGAGCAAGTCGCCGGCTGGTCTTGGTTTGCTTCTCTCACGCTTCCGTTGGAGCTGAGCTTGGGCGACTAGGGCTCTGCGTCTGGCCTGAGGTCAAGCTTCTGTCTGTGAGTGGGGCGGTGGAAAAAGGGAGCCCTGGTCTGCCCCAGACAGCTGGAAATTCAACCTCTGCCATGTGGAGCAAGAAGGGGTGAGAAGTGCTGAGAGCCCGGCCTTCCTGGGCAGATGCCTAACCCTTGACGGGGAGCTGAGGGAGAGGGAACTCATCCTCTTGGCCACACCTGTCCTCAATGCTAGGTGGGTAGGGGCTGCTGGAAGGAAGGAGTGTCGGCTCAGGTGCCAACATGCTCCGTTTTCTCATCAAGATGTGATTTTCTTCTAGAAAAGTTTCTTTGTTTGCCAGGTACCCTTAGTGTCATGTCCAGGAACTTTAAGCCTGGAGTGTAGTGGCATGCTCATGGCCACTACAGCCTCGATCTGCTGGGCTCAGGTGATCCTTCCACCTCAGCCTTCCAAGTAACTGGGGCTACAGGTGTGAGCCACCACGCCCAGCTAATTTTTTGACTTATTGTAGAGATGAGGTCTTGCCAAGTTGCCCAGGCTGGTCTCAAGCCCGTGGGCTTAGGCAGTCCTTTCACCTCCACCTCCAAAGCACCCAGCATATGTCCAGAGACTTTAAATGTCTGCTTTTGAATAATTTTCATCTTTACCTCTTATGCCTGTTACGCTGGGGAGAGGGTTCATGGAAGCTCCTCTCACTGCCATTTCAGAAGTGAAGCTCCACTAAATGAGCTTTGGCACCACAACTGTGAAAAAGAAACTTCTGGGATTGAGGCTTTTTTGCTTTGGAATTGGATACAAGGGATAGCGGGCCTGTGTGAATATTTCCGCCTCATGGACCAGAAAGAGGCTGCATAGTTCAGGGTCTGACAGCTGGTTGTGATGAGGCAGGGAGGCACACACAGGCGGTCTGACTCCAGAAGCCACCTTGGTCTTAACCTCTTACTGGCCCGTGTCATGTCATTCTCGAGAACAGGAGTCCCGTGGTTTCCATTTTATACTTCTATCTCCAAAATACAGACCTCCAGTAAGCAGTGTGTGTGTGTCTGTCCTCAGCCTTTTCCTGGTCGGTGTGTGTTGCCCCCTGGCCTGCATGTCTAAAGCAGAGCAAGCGTGCTGCGTAGACATGCTCTCCTCCACGGGCTCTCTGGGGCCACAGGGCCAGGCGGTGAATGGACACAGCCTCTGTCTCTGTCCCCAGGGCCTCCTGCGCCGGCCATGCCTGTGCCCACGGAGGGCAGCCCACCGCCCCTGAGCGGCACCCCCGTCCCCGTGCCAGCCTACTTCCGCCACGCAGAACCCGGCTTCTCCCTCAAGAGGCCCGGGAGGCTCAGCCGGAGCCTTCCACCCCGGCCTCCTGTCAAGGGCAGCATCCCCATCAGCCGCCTCTTCCCTCCTCGGACCCCAGGCTGGCACCAGTTGCAACCCCGGAGGGTGTCGTTCCGGGGCGAGGCCTCAGAGACCCTGCAGAGCCATGGGTATGACCCAAGCCGGCCAGAATCCTTCTTTCAGCAGAGTTTCCAGAGGCTCAACCGCCTGGGCCATGGCTCCTATGGAGAGGTCTTCAAGGTAAGTGGGCATGACTTCCCAGGCCTCTCTGAGGGTCCTCCCTTGCCGCCATCGCCTTCCCTGGATGGAGCAGCATCCTGGCAGCCCGCCTCTCCTGGGCTCACAGGCCCTTCCGTGTTTGGCTTGGCTGCTCTCATCCCCCCCTGCAGGCTCCTCTGAGGCCTACCTCCTGCACACCGGCCCCTTGTCCAGAACCTGGCACGCCCTATGGCAGCCCCCACTGCCGTTTCTTCCTGCCCTGGCGCCAGCTGTGCTGGAGTCCTTGGCAAGGCCTCGGCCCCCTGAGCCAGCCCTGAGTGCAGTACCCACCCCGCCTGCCTGGGCTGGCAGGCTCTGAGGCTACCCCCTGCCTGCCGCCTTGTTTTTCTTAAAATATAGTTTCCAGTCATTTATGGTTTCTTTAAAATGGTGATTTTTCTTTGCACAAGTCCTATATGAAGATCATTTTGTTCAAAAATACAAACAACATAGGTTCCTGAGTTGGGCGTGGTGGCTCATGCCTATCATCCTAGCACTGATTGCCTAAGTCCGGGGGTTCAAGACCAGCCTGGGCAACTTGGTGAGACCGCATCTCTATAATAAATCAAAAAATAAGTCAGGCGTGGTGGCATGTACCTGTAGTCCCAGATACTTGGAAGGCTGAGGCAGAAGGATCGCCAGAGCCAGGAGGTCAAGGCTGTGGTGGCTGTGAGCCACTGCACTCCAGCCTGGGCAACAGAATGAGTCTCTGACACAAAAAAAAAACAAAACAAGGCCCCCTGAATCAGCTCTTCTTCCCAGAGGAAACCACTCAGACCCGGTAGCATGTATCACCTGTTCTGTAGCCCCTGCTCCACTCAACAGCACGTCCCGGACTTCTGGGCCAGTGCTCGCAGGGCTGCCCGTCTCCATTGCAAAGCCTCCAGTGACCCAGGCCCGGGACTGGAGCTTTGTCCAGTTCTGCTATTACAGCAGGGGGCTGAGACAGATGCCAGCCATGCCACCCTCTACATGTGTGAAACCTTCGCCGAACCTGCGGGTTTATTTCCCCAAGTGAGTGTGCCACTCATGGCACACCCCCACCCTGTGGTTGCCACCTCCCTTCCAGGTGCGCTCCAAAGAAGATGGCCGGTTCTATGCGGTCAAGCGCTCCATGTCGCCCTACCGGGGCCCCAAGGACCGGGCCCGCAAGCTGGCGGAGGTAGGCGGCCACGAGAAGGTGGGGCAGCACCCGCGCTGCGTGCAGCTGGAGCAGGCCTGGGAGGAGGGCGGTGTCCTGTACCTACAGACGGAGCTGTGCGGGCCCAGCCTGCAGCAGCACTGTGAGGCCCGGGGCGCCAGCTTGCCCGAGACCCAGGTCTGGAGCTACCTGCGGGACATCCTGCTTGCCCTGGCCCACCTGCACAGCCAGGGCCTGGTGCACCTCGATGTCAAGCCCGCCAACATCTTCTTGGGGCCCCGGGGTCGCTGCAAGCTGGGTGACTTTGGGCTGCTGGTGGAGCTGGGTACGGTGGGAGCTGGCGAGGCCCAGGAGGGAGACCCCCGCTACATGGCCCCTGAGCTGCTGCAGGGCTCCTACGGGACGGCGGCAGACGTGTTCAGGTAAGGCTTGGGCCAAGCAGGGCGGTGGTGGGCTGCAGGAGACCCTTCCTGGGGGTGATCAGCAGGAGATGGATTTCCTGGGAGGAAGCTCTGTCCGAACCCAGGATGCCTGGCCTCAGGCCCAGGAGATGCTGCCCCACCCTGCAGTCGAGGGGTCTCAAGTCAGGAGCCCTCTAGAGCTGCTGTGCACGGAGTAGCACACCTTCTCACAGCCCCACCGAGGAACAAGTGTGATTCCATTTACAGTGAGGTCAAGGGACTGGCCTTAAGCCCACGGCTAGCAGGTGGCACAGCTGGTACTGGACCTAGGCACTGGGTTCTAGGGTCCATGCTGGTAACCACTGTCCTAACCATCTGATTATTACGATAGTAACACTGACACTGCAGTAGCCAAGTGGCTGTCCAGCAGGTCCCTGGGAGGACCACCACAGTGATCCAAGGGCTGCCCTGGCTGTGGGGCCCATAATCCATGATATGTCCCCATCCTGCCTGGGTTCATCATCAGCCCTGCGGGACCTCCTGGAGCATACTCCCCCTCCCCAGCTGAGGGCAGCAGACAGCAGCCTTTCCCCCTTCCTCTACGGGGCAGCCCAGGACCGAGTCTGCATCCTGAGGCCAACCCTGCCGCTGTCCCCGTCCCATCCCTCCCAGTCTGGGGCTCACCATCCTGGAGGTGGCATGCAACATGGAGCTGCCCCACGGTGGGGAGGGCTGGCAGCAGCTGCGCCAGGGTTACCTGCCCCCTGAGTTCACTGCTGGTGAGTGGGGCTGTGGTGGGAGGGATGTGCTGCACAGGCTCCTGGGTAGGCGTGGCTGGTGGGGGGGGCACCCCGGGCTCAGGGGCCAGTCAGCATCCTGGGAGGTGATACAGCCCTGCCTCACGGGCAGGTCTGTCAGCTGAGCTGCGGTCAGTCCTTGTCATGATGCTGGAGCCGGACCCCAAGCTGCGGGCCACAGCCGAGTCCCTGCTGGCGCTGCCCATGCTCAGGCAGCCACGGCCCTGGAGTGTGCTGTGGTGCATGGCTGCTGAGGCCCTGAGTCGGGGGTGGGCTCTCTGGCAGGTAAGCTCCCAGTGGGACACACAGCCCCCCCTGCTTCCCCGTCCCAGGGTGTATCCGGCCTCCCAAAGCTCCTCTCCCTCTCCCCACAGGCCCTGCTCACTGTGCTGTGCTGGCTCTGGCACGGGCTGGCCCACCCTGCCAGCTGGCTGCAGCCCTCAGGCCCACCGGCCACCCCGCCTGGCTCACCCCCCCGCAGCCTCCTGGACAGCAGCCTCTCCAGCTGCTGGGATGACGACAGCCTAGGGTGAGTGAGCAGGATACGTGTAGGGTCGGGATGGAACAGCATTGCCTCCCCCGCCAACCTAGCCCCATCACACCCCCGGATGGGGAACCAGGACTGCTGGGGCATGGCTTAGGCTAGTGTGAAGGCGGCTCGGCATGTGTGTAGCACGGCATCATACTCAGGGCACCGACATGCCAGGGAGTGGCAGGAGGTGCAGCCCCCAGCCCAGTGGAGCTTGCCAGTGCCCAGGGTCAGGCGTAGTCCCCTTTCTGGGAGGAGGAAGCCTCTGGAGCCTGGTGAGCCCCTCTTGGGAGGAAGTTCCCAGTCTCCAGTGCCTGGTGGCCAAGTGACAGGCTGTAATTAGGAAACTCCTGCAGAAGAAAGCCACATGCCCAAGGCAGACAGCCCTCAGGAGGAACACTGCCGCTAATCCTTTCCTTGCAAAAATATCACCCCACCAATTGTCACCATAGCAGACACAAGGTGCCAGAAAAGCTCCGTTTACTAAAAGTTCACTTCAAATCCACCTCAGTAGAAGCCTATGAGTTCTGAAAAGGACAGAGGGATCCTCTGAGCGTGGCCAGGTGCAAGGATTTTGAAGGCTGTCCCAAGTGCTTCTTTCAAAATGCACCAAGTTTTATTGTCCCAATGGTGGCTCCCTGCCCCTGCATCAGACGGGAGCCTGCAGAAGGACAGCTGGCTGTGTCCTGCACTCCCCGACCTGTCTCTCTCCCCCCACCCTGCAGGCCTTCACTCTCCCCTGAGGCTCTCCTGGCCCAGGCTGTGGGGAGCACGTCCACCCCCCGGAGCAGGTCCATGACCAGGTGAGCAGGCCCCCGGTGTGGGCAGGTCCTGGCTCGGGTGGATGGGGCTGGCTTCCCGGTCCTGAATGTCATCCCGCTCTCTTCCCTCCTCCCAGGGCTGCCCTGGACCTGAGTGACATTGGCTTGCAGCCGCCTCAGGGCTCCTTCCCCTCCTTCGAGCCTCGCAATCTCCTCAGCCTGTTTGAGGACTCCCTGGACCCAGCCTGAGTCCAGGCTCTGCCTCTGCACTTTTAACCTTTTAGCCCACTTCTCTCCCATTCCTCTTGAAAGCTGGGGTCTCTCGGGAGCGCCCGTGGTCCCCTCTGCCTGGCGTGTCTAATAAAAGGTATTTGAATCTTGGGAGCACCAAGCTTGCTCTTAGGGCAGCACAGCCCTTCCTGTCCCTCTACTGACACTGCCCGAGGCCTTAGGCCCTGGGACGGGCCCCGAGGCTGAGCCCTGCTGCCCACTCCAGGGCCCCAGCCCAAGGCCAGCAGAACAGAGCCACACTGTGTGTGGAGTCCAGAGATTTCCTGAGTACGCATGTCCTGGCGGGCAGGCTGAGCCTTGGGAGCACGGCACTCAAGGTGGAGGGCGGGTGTGCAGCCCAGGGGTCCTGCGACCCGGCTGCTCAGCTCCATGTGCCAGTTGCCTGGAAGCAGCAGCAGCAGCAGCAGCCCTTGTGTCCTGCGGCCAACTGATGCAAGGAGGGCCAGTGCCCACTTGGCCCTGATGCTCCAATGCCTCACCCCACAGTATCTGGACAGTGGGGATCCAGCAGGTGAGCACCTGGCTGCCGGCGGGGGGTGGGGGCTGGTGGCCCATGAAGTTGGCAGGACTCCAACTGCCAGAGTGAGACTTGACTCCAGATCCCTCTGACCCAACCCTCACAGTGACAGGGTAAACAGGCCCAGAGGGAAAGGCTTCCTTCTAGCTGGCACAGTAAAACAGCAGCCAAGAGGGAGAAGGCAGGGAGGGCGACATGGAGCTCCATGGTGGGAGAAGAGTTTAGTCTATAGGGAAGAAATGACGAACAGACGAGGGCTTCCAGACGAGACTTCCCGGGCGCCGGCAACATCCAGGGAGCCGGCCCTGTTCAGCCCAGTGGGAGGAAAGCGGGTGGTGCTGGCCCTGGGAGGCTGTGGCAGGCCGGTGCGGCAGGTAGCTCAGTCCAGGGGACAGGCGTGGCGGGCAGTCCAGAGCAGGTCAGGCACGACGCCAGCGTGCAGCTGGAGGATGGAGCCCACACTGAGCAGGTGCATGATCTGGTGGGAGTTGCCCCAGTAGTCGAAGCGGCCGGGGCCCCAGCGCTCGGGCAGGCGGGCAACGTTCACCAGCCCCCCGAGCAGCGCCAGCGCATCCATGCGCAGGTAGCAGGGCAGGGAGCCTGGGGCCCCTGAGCCCAGCCCCGCTCCCCGGGCCCCAAACACCAGGAGCCGGGCACCAGCCTGCCAGCCAAAGGCTCGGAGCCGGGCACTGGTGGAGGGGGCTGTGAGGGCGCGCCAGCCGGCCACACCCGATAGCACAGTGTAGCCCACCAGGGCGGCTGGGCGCAGCCAGGGCCTGCAGGCCAGGGTACAGTGGATGATGGGCAGGGCCCCTGCAGAGGAGAGAGCAGGAGAGGCCACATCAGCCTGAGGGTCTGCCCTTCCCTGCCCAGGCTCACAGGTATCCCCAGCCTCCCCTTCCAGACTGTCCCCAGCTCCCATACCTCAGGGACCTGACTCACCCAGGGTGTTGACAAGGCAGACCCCACACATGTCCAGGGCGAGGAGCCGGGCATATACAGGGCTGCCCCCTTGGTGGCACATGAAGAGGTGATAAAGCACAGAGCCCGCAGGGGGTGCCAGGCAGGCCACACAGTGCGTGCCCCCCAGCCAGCCGTCCTTGCCCAGCTGGCCCCAGGGCATGGTCATCGGCACCAGCACCAGGAAGCCCAGCAGGGCCAGCCCTGGGGGAGGGAGACAGTTATCCACCAGTTTCAGAACGGAGGGCAAGTCACGTCCTCAAAGGAACCAGTCTAGCTACAACAGCGGAGGCAGGCTAGAGGCTTTCAGGAACCAGTTAATTATCACAGCTCATGACAGTTCTGGAAGGTAGAGACCATTATCCCCACCGTGCAGTGAGGAAACTGAGGCTTGGAGAGGCCAAGAAGCCTGTCCCGGTGAGCCCAGCAAGTAAGCAACGGGCAGAGGTCAGGGCCTGGGCCATCTGACTCCCACGCTGCTCTCGCTGGGGGGAGGGACCTGAGCCCCTGGCCTGGGTCACAGAAGGAGGCGTGACCTGCAGCTAAATCCTGACTGGGACACGGGAACGGTGACACCATCTGGCCTGCTAGCTTTCTCTTCCCACCGGAGTCCTCTCTCTCCGTGAGTGTCCAAACGGATACCTCGGGGCCTTTGTCTTCCAGAAAGAGGCGCGGCCAGGCAGGGAAGGAAGTCTAGACTGAGCAGAGGGGTGCTGAAAGGAGCTTGTCCCCTCTCCGCCCAGGAGCCCCACCGCTTCTCGCCGCCACTCGGGGGCACCTGGCGGCGCTAAAGCCTGGAAGGCTCCAGGCAGGGCCCGGCCAGCCCCGGGCCCCTCTCCCGGCGGGGGCAGTTCAAGGACGGGCAGGGCTGTGTCAGCAGAGCTCGGCGGGGCGCGGAGGAGGGGCCGGGCGCCGAA